TTTTTCTTGCTTGTGCAATTAAGTCAACATTATGTGTGAAATAATCAATTATAAAACATGCTAAAATTTTCTGTAAATCGTGTTTAACATTTTGTGAAATATCATTATTTGAAAAGTTTTCACCGATTGCGTTTAAAAATGCTGAGAATGCGGCAATTTCATTTCTTAAGTTCGTGTGTCTTGACGTTTGAACTGGTGACGTAATTTGTGTTTCTATCTGTTCCAATATGGATAAGTAACTATATATTATTGCAAAAACATCGTTAGTAAATATTGAATTTGCTCTCTGTGAATTTTGGTGTTGTATGTTTTAATGTATTCTGTGAATACTTTTGAAAATTCTATGTCGATGTCATCTGTTTGGATAACATATTTACCATGAAATTTACTTGCTCTACTGAGTTCAATGTTGTAAATTCCATATTGTTGTGTTAGGTTTTACTTTCCTTTTCAAAAATGATCGACAATTTGTCTTTTGACTTTTATTTCTGGGAATTCTGCTTTACATGGGCTAATTCCTTGTTCGAATAAATTTGCGATTAGATTATTGCAAAATTGTATTTGTACTCTATCATCAGTGAGTGAATTGATGAGAAATGGAAAAACAGAGTTTTCGTCTGGGCTTTCGTCACTTTGAGTATGGCTCATTTTTTCGTTTTATGACTGTTAGTGCGTAATGTTCAATGTGTCTGATTGGTTGGTTTCAATTGTATAAACGTACTGGTTTATTTTTGTATATCTTTTTTATTCGTCTTTTTCCTTGTTTTGATGAATGTGATGTGGCTTCTGATTCAGAAAAATATAAATGATCATGAACTGGATAGTTTTTATTTATTGTTTCTTTTAGTTTGTAAAGTGATTCTAAATTACTGACTTCTGATTCGGAGACTGCATTTCTTCGCTTCGAAAATCTTTTTCGTGTAATCTGTCTTTGTTTACTTAAAATTTTCCTTTTTATTGTTTGCCATTTTGTTCGAATATATCCAATTGTTTGTTTGTGCGGGGTGATTACGAGATTGTATTTTTCGTTGTTTATTTCACAATTGTGTAGTACGATTGTTTGTTTATTTCCTAAATTGTTCAGTGACATGAGGTTTAGGATGAAGGATGCAAGGATGTTATTAGTAGTTTTATTATCCTAGACTGTTAGTCCTTACGATTTTTTGGTTAGCCTAACTTGGGTCTTTTATTCAGGATTGGAGAGAAAAGTATATATCGATTCCGAAGAATGATTGTTACTTTCTTGTGGCTATTCTAAGTTAAGGTGTTAACTTACTTAATCTTACTTAGGGGTAGTGATTGTTTTCAAGGGTTGGAGAATAGTAAATCGAACCAGAAGGTTCAGGTATAATTAGAACGCGAGTAGTTCGTTAGATACTATTTTAAACTTACTAAGATTAAGATTTAGCGTGGGTCAGGTAAGAGGGGGATCAAGTGAAGAATGAATAACCGAAGTTCTTCACTGTTTAGCCTAATTAGAATGGTTAGAGTGATTGAAAAACTTTGATTAGTCCTGGGTCCTTTAAAAGGGTTGGATAGTGAGTCGACGTTTGAGGTCGTTAGACACTTGATAATTGGGTGGGGGAGAACAAAAATGTTCTATTTGATCGAAAGATAAACCTTGATGATCAGAATAAAAATTTTAAGGGTATAAAATTGATTAAGTTAAATATGTAATTGAGATCGAAGGAAAACCGTGATGATCTAATTTAAGGTTGAATAATTTTAAGTTAAATAACGGTAAAAATTAGGATAAGCCTTTTGAAATAATTTAAGTTTAATTGATAGAAAGGTTTAGTATCGTATGATATTATTGGTTTTAAGAATGCTGTTATGTTTAGGTGATGAAGCTTTAGATGACAGGATGATTTGTATATACTAATAATTTATGATCAAGTTGACTAATTTTTATTTTTAATTTCAATAACAAGGTTTTTCAGATATCTTTTTTGATTTTTACTCTTGTTTTGGAGGAAACGATTTGAGATGTTTTTATCAATCGTTATTGTACAATAGTAATTTGGTAATTTGGTCATTGCTAATAAAATTCTAAATATAAAAATTTGTGTTGGCTTTTGCCGTACGACCATGAAACTTAATGATAAGTTTTTCCGTAGTCCTATAACGTCTCTTGTCCGAGGTCTTCTTCCAATACCGGGTAGTTCTCGTATTGTATGGAATAGCGGCTCTGATCTATTGAGTCGTAGAGACATTTCGATTAAATTATTGTCATGTAACATTTTGAAAATGCTTTGTCTAGTTCTAATCTATCTTGTTAGTTCTAAGCTCATAGATCTAGAGTATACTGGCTTATTGCGATTGCTAAAGTTCTCTTGGAGAGGTAACTAATTTCTAAGTTAAATTCAAATCTCTCTGGTGCTGAAATTACAAGTAATTTCAGCACTTACAAATAAGTGGGTTGTTAGTTTGATGGGTCATGATTGGTTAATATTAAATACTTCATAGTGTTAAAATATCTAATTTATAACCAATAATAAAATGTAGTTTAGATCTGGTTCCAATAGTGACAGTAAGTCAACAAAAAGTTAACTCTTTCTCCAATCAGGATAATAATACAGAAGGTCTCAGTGATAAGCATTCCCCATAGTATAAGCTCATTACTTGATTCATGTTCCGAGACCTGTTTTTTAGCAGACTAACTTTTAGCAATAAAAAAGTGAAAATTGAGTGTTTTAGCAGTTTAACATCTGGAAAAGGACATACAATTGATCGAAAGCCAACAGACGCCTAGTTGTTCCGACTTTCAAAGAAAACGGAATATTTATGCTCGTTGTGCTTTTTTTATTCAATTTTCACCGGTCGGGGTAATAATTTTCAACAAAAACTTTTTATACCCCATTGAAGATATTGACTGAATTCAAATGCAAAAAGATATTTCATCTCCGATTATTTTTTGTAAAGTTCTGGGGGTTTGAAAATCGCCAAATTTGCCTTAATCTGGACTAAATTATGTGCGCTTTTAAGAAATTATTCATAATGCTGAGAGCGTAAAGCGAACTATTTATGCGTGGCGAATAATCCCGCACAACAAAATCGTTTGAAATTGAATTGAGGCTAATTATTCGGTCGTATTACACTCGTACATTTTAAAATTTCATAGTTAGATATGGTCCAAAATGTATAGGTTTTCAAAATTTTATATTTTTTCCCCAAAAACTATTCGATTTGAATAAAGAGACTGTCGGAGCTTTCATGGCTTTGCCCTGATATACGAGCATTCTTGTTTGTACATTAGTTTTCCTAATTAATTTGAAAATTTCGCAGTTTGTCAACAAAAGTATCAACCCAAAACAGAACAATCCAAATGGTTGGGCTATTTGCAAGCTCGAAGGACCGAATGGCCGAAAAAACTCGTGGGCGAAGGACCGAAAACAAAATTAGCCGAAAATCAATTTTTAAAAAGAAACAGTTGCCATTCAATTTAAATGAAATAAATGAAGCAATATTTTGTTTCTTTCACAACGAAAAAAATTGAAATATAAAATTTGTTCCAGTTCGGCTGCGGTCAGTGACAATTTGAAAACTTTGCATTTTTCTTCCGTTTTTATTTTCGGCCAATATCAATATTCAATCCCAGGAAATGTTTACTTTCTTTCCAACTTTTAGATTACTGGAATCTGATTGGCTGATTTTTATTTTCGCGCATTCGGTCCTTCGCGAATGAGGGGTTCCACCCACAATGGTGACGAACACTGATTCAAGAGCACGACAGCACTTGCGCGCAATGCAATTGAAATTGAGCAAGCAAACGATTCATGGCATTGTTGCGTTTGGAATGAGCGTTCTAAGTTGATTAAATTGAGTCTGCTAAATTATCGGTGGAATCCCTCATCCGCGCAGGACCAAATGCACGAAAAAAAAATCAGCCAATTAGATTTCAGTAATTTCAAATTCGGAAAGAAAGTAAACATTTCCAGGGACTGAATATTGATATTGACCAAATATAAAAACGGCAGAAATATACAAAATTTTCAAATTGTCACTGACCGCCGCGGAGTTGGGACAAATTTCATATTTCAAGGGTTTCGTTACGAAAGAAGCAAAATATTGCTTCATTTAATTCATTTTAATTGACTGGCAATTGCTTCTTTTTAAAATTGACTCGGCTAATTTTGTTTTCAGTCCTTCACTCACGAGTTTTTTCGCGCATTCGGTCCTTCGCGCATGAGAATAGCCCCCATATGATCGACCAGCTAAAAAACTGGTCTGCTACGAAAATCATACCCCAATTTTTTCAAAGTGTAATTACGATAGGAGCCAATTCTAGGAATTTCTTGAGGGGGGATTCAAAAAAAGGCCTTTTGAGCACTGTTTGGAAATTTTTTTTAACCAAAAAGTGCATTTTTTTTGGAGCGCGCTTCCCCCTCAAGGCTTTAATTGCTTCAATAAGTACTTGCTTTAATAAATACTGATTATTCCTCGTTCCTCTGTTTTATTGGCTGAATTATTTCGTAGCTGCTTTACTCCCACCCAATTATCGGATGTATGTGGAGATGGGGTAATTGAGGGATGGGTAAATGAAAAAGTTGTCAAAAATAGGGATACGGTGTTAAATATATGAGGATTGTTCTGCCAATTTTTTCATAAATGGTGTATAGGTATAGAGTTGGAGCAGACCAAAAACTGAGTAACGCAAAAATTGTTGCCAGTTTTGGTAATAAATTTTCAACCTGTTAAGCATCTTATGATTTATTATAATGGATTTTTAATGAAACATAATCGAATGAAACTTTTTGAAGAAAATGTGAGGGTGTAAGGGTAAAAGTGTGTGAATGTATGGGTCTATAGATGTATAAAAAAACAATTTGTGAAAATAATCATCAAAACAAGCCAAAAGTAAGTCTCAATTTACAAAATCCAACTTTCAATTTAGTAGTGGTTGGAATAGCAAAAGCTGGTCGGTTTAATTCTATCCAAAATCGGTTTAATTCTATCCGGTCGGTTTAATTCTATCCGATCGGTACAAATTTCAAACCTAATTTGAGTCCCTTTTTGTGCATGTAATCCGCCAAGCTTTTTATGCCACTCGGAAATAACTTAGGATCCGCTTCCAAGAGGCCATCTTCACTTCTTCTTTTCATCAGCCAGCAGTCATCAATCGCAACATAAGTAAACCCTGCATCTCTCAAACCCAAAGAGACCAATGCATCCGCGATTGATTTGAACAAATTCTCGTGCAGGCATTCGTCAGGGAAATTTGTACAGTCCGTCTGACATCTACAAAAAATGCACTGAAGTTAACTAAAAAAGCTACGTGCATTAAAGTTAAAGCCCAAATGATGCGTTGGCTTTATTAACTCATATTAAAAAAAATTTTGGGTTGAAGGAACTCAAAAATGAGCTCAAAATTGTTACAAAATGAAGCTAATTTCTTGTTGCGCCCCCGCAAGGGTTGAGAGAATTTACTTCAGATTAAATAAGTAACTAACACTTAACAGCAGGGATGGATTTAGGGGAGAGGGGGGGGGGCGGGGGGCGGACGCCCTTTTTCCTCAGAGACTCGACTCCTTGCCGACCCAAAGGGCCCCCTTTGTAATATTTTAAGATATCCAATTTCTGGTGACGGACCTTAAAAAAGTTCTACAGGCGCCTAAGGAACCAATATATAATAAATTTGAGGGGGGTGCGCGCGCCGAAAAACGTAATTTTTTGGTCAAAATTTTCCAAAAAGTGCGTAAAAACGCTTTTGGACCGTTTTTTCAAAACTTTGCCTGCGGCGCTGACTATTTAGCCAAAACAGGGTTTTTTATAATGCTTTGGGAGAGCTTGGAAACCAGTTTGCTCGATCTAAAAAAGGTCAACAAAAAAAGTTTTTGAAAATCCGCGCCAGCTATTAATGAAACAACCGTTTTTGATCAGATTTTAAGTCGAAGCTCTACAGAATTCTACTGCTGTGTTTCTGAGCAATAGAATTTTGTAAATTCGGAAAATTGCTTTAACAACATATTTTAACCCAACAAAATGCCATATTGGTCTTGACAAAAACCTTTCGCTCCAAATTTCGACAACCACAAAAAACTTTTGGTAATTGACCGAAATCGTAAATAAGATCTGTATAGCGAAATATCAGAATTGATATCATTTTTCTTCAGCGATTGTTTTTCAAAAATTTTGCAAACAGATTTTCAGATTTTTCTTGATAAACTTCACGATGGCATAAATTTAAGGTGAAAGGGGGAAAATAAAAATTCCGTGCATGGAATTTTGATTTTTGCGAGTTTTCTGAACGGAAATTATTTGAAAAAAAATTAAATGGGTTTTTGTAGCGGTTACATGGCAAAAAAACTTTTATCCTGACGCCGGTTGTAACTTTTTGGCCTAACCTTTCCGCTATTGATTTTTATGGGAATATTTATTGCAATGGACTATATCCCCAAAAATTTAACCCATACAATCAATTTTCATGGCCATCTAACCATAAGAATGGATTTTTACGGGACTTTAATCAATCAAAACTCAAAAATCCATTATAATCCATTAATATCGATTAAAAACGACTTTGTTGCTCAGAAAAATATCATCATTATGATCCATTTTAAAAGAAATAAAAAAAAAATTGTGCAATTTTATAGAGATTGACAAAGAAAAAGCAATCTAACCGATTATTATCCTTGAAACTCTACTGCGAGTTAAACGATACTTTTTCCTTAAAAACGTGTTAATCAATTTTAATCGTGTTAATTTATGATTTATGGTTGTTAGGTAAGATTACCTAGTTATGACCTTTTGGTTATACTCATAGAGTAATTACAGATAGGTACACCGTCTGTTCGTCACACTATCTAATTTTTGGCCGGATAGAATCGTGTAACTTCTTAGTCTAATACCAATCTTAATCTTACTCTTATATCTCCTAGTCTCAATAGGTCTAGTGTATACTGGTATTTGCGAGTTAGTTCTTGGAGTTTATCTAGAAGGAGAACAACTGTGTTCTAAGTTTAATTCAAATTGCTCTGGTGCTGAAACTACGAGTACTTTCAGCCTTTACAAATAAGTGGGTTGTTAATTGATGGAGTATGATTGGTTAGTATTTAATATTTTATAGAAATAAAATATCATATCAATAACCAATAATAATTTTTAGTTTAGATCTGGTTCCACCCATCCTGAGTTTAGAGAGTTTTAGTTTCTAAAGGTTTAATGTAGTAAAGTATGGATGATGTTGTTTTTCTTTTGAAGTTGCGAGCTTTTGTTTTCTTTGATGAGGAAAAAGTGTTATTTTTTCGGGTTCGGACGAATAGAAATTGTCATGTTCTTGTTCTTAAGTGGTTGTCATTGATCGTGATAGTTCTTGAGAGATCGTGTCAAGACGTCTGATTGATTGCAATGAAGTGCTGATTTGGTTAGGTAGAGAGCAGCAGTGCTCCAGCCTCGTTCGGATGTAGCATGAAGCTTGACTTTCGTGTGAAGTGGCGAGTGACTAGGATCTGTACGTGTACTCAACATCGAGATGGCTATTGGTCTGTGTCAATGGGTTTCCTTTGCTGCGATGCCAGGTCGTACTTTAAATCCTTCGAGTGTCGTGACTGTAGGCAGCAAGTCGGGTGTGTTTGCCATTCCGTAGTTGGTGTGTGATTGGGTTGTCAACTTCCTTGCTGCTCACCTTGGGCTTTATGAAATCTTTATACTGCATTGTATTATTTACATATACAAATCTTTGTTAATTTCATTTTTAGTTATGATCTTATATTTGTGGTTATCGCAAAAGCCTTTTTGTTTTAGTTTAGTTAATTTTAAAAGTCACCCACCCTTGAGAAACTCTTGTCAAAAATAAGATTGTGTTCACAAACCGTGGGTGTAGCACGGTGGGTTAGGCCGGCTATAGAGCATGCTCAGGACGTCCTCTTTGGTGGGTTAAACTAGGAGTGGAGTATAATATAAAGCTCTCTTTTTGTAGGGTCCTTTTTTGTTTCCAAGCTTTTGTGCCCCTTTTAATACTGGTTTTTTTTTCTTGTTTTGGTTGCGCCCTTTTTTCAAAAATCAATTCGTTTGGTTTGGGTTTGTCTTTCGACTTTTTTGTGTTTTATTTGTTCTTGTTTAGACTTGAAAATAGTCTTTAAAAGAATAATTTATCCAGTTTTAAGCAGGTTTTAATCCGGTTTGGGTACCGTGGGTTTTCTTTTCTTAGTCATGCTGTTAGGTTGTGGTTTGTGGTGTTTAGTAAGCTGCGTTGGTTAGCTTAGATAACTATATAAATCCTTTCTAACCGGGTTAAAGGAAAGTTTGAAACGTGTTAAAACTGGTTAGAGTTGTTATCCGTGAGAGTTAAAACTTAAATTCATTATTTTAAGCATTTCTTCGTGGGCGAGTTGTTCGATTGTGGATAAGATTGTGGGAGAGTGAATGATTTAAATTTATAAAGAAGCGTCTTTGAAAAAGTTAGTAATACTTTTGAATTTATTTGCATTTTTTAAGAATTTACTACTTTTAAAATATTAATTTTACGGCTTTTGGGGAGTTGAACTTATCAATTTATTGCTTGTTAAAAATATTACTGCATTGGGCAAAAGAATTTATTTATCAATTTACTGCTGTTTGGGGGTATATTTTCCTGCTATATTTATTGCAATTTGTTAATATAAGTGTATGATTGTAGAAAAAAGTTTTCAGTTTTTTAGTTGGTTTTTCTTCTTTGTAGATGATTGTGGATGATCGTGCGGTGAAGGCTAGAGAAAAAGGGAAAACATTTACAAAGAATGGTTAGTTTTGTTCTAACTTGTCAGTTAAGTTTATTTAAATCATTTTTACCTAAATCATCTGTGAAGAATCTATGGGGAAAAACGTCGTGGATGATATCTGATGATGTTAGTAGTTTAGCTAATAAGCGAGTGATGTATTTAGTTTGGAGAAGTGGCCAAAGCAATTCTAGTGCTTTTATGATTTTATGCTCTTCAGTGCTGGATGAGAGTTCATATGGTGTAATTTGGATAATTTTATAAAGTTTGTGGTTATATTTGGTGTTATGGATCAACTCTAGGATCGGGAGTTCGGCGTGCTGTAGGAATTCGTGTGGGACAATTAGTGGGCGGGATTCGTTTACGTTGAAGGTCTTGGTTAAGAGGCAGACTATAGACATCTGTTTGATGGTGCCATAGTTGCGGAGGATGCCTTGTAGGTTAGTGTCTTTGATACAATAAGTGAAGTTGAGAAAGAATGGTGAGGTATATTTGGAGTTATTATATTGAAATCTATGATGAATTTGTCGTGATGGTGTGTTATGACTATAATGGTGTTGGATGAATTTATAGTAAGTGTAAGTGTGCATTCGTTTAGTGCGTAACATGATGTCGTGTGAGCAGTGCAAATCACGTTCTTTGGGTGTGAGGAAATGAAAGATTAGTGAAAAATTGTTAAATTTGTTAAAATATGAGTCGTAAGCTTGTGTGTCACGAAGTGCTGCTGAAATGACGTGATCGTACTTTTTATCTAGACTTTTGAGAGTGAAAACTTAATTTGTTTTGATGAAAAAATTTTTTTGTTAGTTGAGGGGTAGCATTTGTATCAGTATCTAAGAAGGTGTCTTCGTTTGCTATTATGATATTATGATCGTAGTGATCGATGGAAAACTGGTTAGCTTCGGGTTCCGGTGAATCTGAAAAGTGTCTGCTTATATCCGATTTGAGTAAGCTGTTTCGGAGTGAGAACTGTTGTTAAATGGTAGAGTTGAGTGCTGCATTGTTCATTATCATATGGGGTGTTGTATAGTGGTAGTGACAGTGGATTAGTAAAGTGATAAAATGAAGTCCATGAAAGCGTTGGGTATAGTACATGTTCATTTACATAATTAGGGTGTTCATTGTTAGTGTTTGAGTGAAAATAGGTGTTTTGCGGGAAAAAAAGGTAAACATACTTGAAGAAATTCTTTGGTGTTAGTGTGAAGTGGATGATTTATGAATGATTGGGCTGATTGGGGGTGAGATGGAAATGGGGTATTAGGGAATTTTCTTTTAAAGGTTCTATGGGCTCGGGTTGTAGCCGAGGGAGTTGGGTTGGACGAAGGAGTTGGGGTTGATGTGTTCGATGATGTGATTGATTGTGAGAGTTGGTGAATGGTTAGTGTTTGAGGGTGCTGTAATTGTTGCTCGAGTGTGATGAAATTATCGAGTTCATTAGCTAATTCCATATTTACAGGGCTGTTGTTGTCGGGCGGGTCACTGTTCAGGGGGAATATGTGGGTGTTATGTCAGTAAGAGGAGAAGACGTGGAAGGAGGTTCAA